CCTAAACTCAGTAATTCACTAAAAATTACTGATCCCTCCGCGTCGCGTCGCGGAGGGATCTTGATCCCTGGGTGTTATTTTTCCCCATAATGACCATCCAATCATCCAATGACTGTTTCCACTCGGACTTCAATACAGCAACACCATTGTTTGGTTTCCATGGTAGCGTGTCTCTTTAGTAGCGTGCACTCCTTTCCTGTAAATTACAGGTCCAGCCAGGCAAAACAGTAATATGAAATATGAACGTTAGTTTTTAACTGAAATGATCAAATAAAGTCAAAATGTCACAGTGTTTACAAACATTGACCATACCGTTCACCAGCCCCCACCCCACTCTGTTGAGTATAGCCTACTCTTTGTTTAAAACGAATTGGCCATCGGAATGTGTGTGTCCCAACCCCCCCCCTGTGATATCTCTTCACAGGGGGGAGAGAGTTAGACGCTCGTGAATTGTCAACGGGGGGGGGGCCTCTCTGCACGGAGGAGCCGCGGAGAAGTGAATCACAGTGATCTGCTATTTTAAAGTAAATTCACACATATCGACCCTAAATATAGCATATATTAAGAACGAGAAAGTGTTAACATCGTTTTTTGTAAACATATGACCAATGTGCGAGGGTGATGACATCAGAGCATCGTCCTATGGGCTTAGCCCCGGACAGGTACAACAGGTATTCACTCAGAGGGGGGTAGTTACTCATTTACATGTCAAAAAAGCAACATACAGTAGGCGGGTGGGGGATGGTGAACGTTTACATTTCTCTACAGCAGTGGTTCCCAAACCTTTTGTGCCCAAGGCACACCAAAGGACAAGTAAAAATCTCAAGGCACACCTATTGTGCAAAATAGCCCTTATAACACGTGTTATCACTCATATCATGTAAAATATCTGTAAATGTGCATAATTATTTACTAATGCCAAATAAAATGTGACAAAGACAACTATATTACTCATGAAATATTTATTAACGAAATATTTCAGAAATGAATTTGAAACTTTATCAAATTAGGCTTCATCAAAGCACAGGGATGAGATAACGTATATAATCTCAGGGCTCGACATTATAAATGGCCCGCTGGCCCGGAAGCATTATTTAGACACCGCGGCCAGCATAACGTACTTTCAACTCGCCCCACAGCTGTTTGCTGCGGAGCGCAGCGCGAGCAGTCTCCCGTGAGCGGGAGCGCACTTCACTACAGACTGTCTCTCCTCTCTCTCTCTCTCTATCTCTCCTCTCTCTTCCTCTCTCTCTCCTCTCCTCTCTATATCTCTCTATATCTCTCCTATCTATCTCTCTCTCTCTCTCTCTCTCTCTCTCTCTCTCTCTCTCTCTCAATCTATAAGGAACCGCAGTAGACAAAAGGCGTTGCTATAGCAACACGTCATGTTTATATGAAAAGGGGTGGGGTCAATATGACCCGCTGGGCGGAAATAGGTATAAATTGACAATTTTTAACAACATAGGGTGCTACATAACACACTTTCAGGAAAAGTCACGGACTGGAAGACTTTAATATTTTATTGAAAAAAAGTTACACAGTTCTAGTGTTGTCCTTCAGCCTTCGATGTGTCACGGTCTTATAATTCCCACCTGCAACTGCGTTAACAGCGAAATATGGGGTTCTGTGAGGATTTTTTTTTTAAATAATTATTTTTAGGTATAGAGTTTGCCTCTGTATTATGAAATGAGTGCATACAAAGTACTGATATAGTAAATTAAAAAATTATTATTTTTGTGTAGTTGTATATTGCAATAATAAGCATTGCCCTTCTCCTATTCAAACCAAAAGAGAAAATGCAGATATTACACTCTGAAAAGAAAGGGTAGACATATCTGTTACTCTTAGTGCCAAGTAGCTAAGCTATTCATTTGCAGAAATGTAAGTGATCTATCTAAGTTCTATTCATATTCTTGACGGGAAGAGTTAGTATACAATAGAGTTAGAGTTAGTATACTTTAAAAGCCTTCTCCAAATCAAACCAAGATATCTTGGGTATTCACTCAGAGGGGGGTCGGTGAACCGGGCAGAGTTTTTAAACATTTAAACATTTATAACTAGTTTAGGTTGTTTGAGAGGTACAGCTACCATTCTTTAATTAGATGTTTGATAAGTGCAGATCACATAGTAAAACACGTACACAGATACATTATTTTGTATTTTTATTAAATTCGACAATGTCAATTTCACTTTCCACTATGTCCACCGTTGTTTTTCACAACCAATGGCAGAACTTTATTGAGGCCTGTAATTAGTCAACTACAGGTCTCTTGGGTCAGTCTTTTTCTTCCAAAAAGCTTGTGACAAGATGTTATTGCTCTTGGGGCATTAAAAACAAGATTTTAACTTTAGTTTTTTATATAATATCTGCATTTTCTATTGTGAAAAACTAAGTCTTAGTTATTTAATATATAGCGCCATCTCCTGGTTAAACCCTGAAATTGGAGAATAGTGGGAGGGCCTAACATTCCTGAATACTGGTCTTTGGCAGGCAACTGGCTGGCAGTCGGCAGGAAGCTGTATGCTGGGGTCCAAAATAAGAGGCTCCATCTGTATGAGTATTTCGTGTGTGAATGCAGACATTCTCCTGCTATGAGATACATGTATGTAAGGCCATCTGCTGATATTAGAGTTGATATGGAAACGCTAGCAACTTAGTTAGCACTGGCTTAGCAGTCCGAAACATGTTTACACATTTAAACAGTCGTGGTAGATACCTTGTTTGATAAATACACAAATAACAATGCAAACTTACAGGTTGTGTACCCGAATCTTCCCCTGCTCCAAACGGTCCAAACAAACTAGGAATAGCATCGTCCTTCAGTTTCAAATGCTGTGCATATCCGGCCTCAAACTGGGCAATGTTTTGGAAGCTTTCGTCTGTGAAATGCCGCGCACACAGTAACGTTCTTCGAACCTCTGAAGGAACAGTGTTAAAAAGAAATTTCAACCACTGACTTCGTCGTGGTTCTTCCGTCGGTAGGACAAACAGCTCAGATTTCTCCTCACATTTCAGGAAACAGGTCCTTGGCGGTGGCATGACTGGATCGATTGTGAACTGAACCAGAGCTTCCAACAGTAAATGTTAGGCTGGCAGAGGGTGCGGCCAGCGCCGCTGGGTGTGGCCATAGCTCTTCGGGATTGGTGCATTTCCTTTCCGGGTACCGCATGACATCAGGCCGTACCCGGAACTAAATGGAAGACTCAAATGGGCAGTGGCGTATCTCCAACGAGGCGTTTTGGGGAGGTATTTTCTGTGTTAGAGTTTTACTCGCTACAGGGTGTACTTTGAGGGTTTTGACTCTGCACACCGTTTACATGCATAAAAACCTTCATAACACACAAGGGGACGGGTAATAACCGGAAAAGCATGACATGGGAGCTTTAACATCTATCACTGTGTATATCATCATTCAAACATCTTTTAAAAGTTGAACAAACCCCACACAGCTCAGGGACTCACAAACTCTCCTCTCTCTGTGATCCATGATGAACAGATTCTTGGAGAGACAACAGATCAGGAAAGGATAAAGTTTATATAAATGAAGAACATTTGTTGTGTACGCCACTAGTAACACAGGTTTTATAACTAGTAATAATCTAGTAATCTGTGTTCAGTCGGATGTGAACCGTATCAGGCGATGAAAAAAAATTCAGAAATTGAAATCTATCATAAATATGAGAAAAAATACGAAATTTGAGAAAAAGTCAGAAATGTAAAAAATTATGAAATATGAGAAAAATTCTGACATTTTGGGATAAAATCTGTAATGTTTGAAAAAAAACATTTTGAAAAAACGTCAGGATTAAAAAAAAAAGAAATTTGAGAAAAAGTCAGAAATGTGTGTGACTTTTATTTTGAAAGGTTTCTCTGTTGTCTCTAAAGACAGGATGAACTCAGACTCCATCTTGTTGTTCTGTCTGGTAAGCAGACTCTAACATGGCGCCTGAAGCAGCTTTCTCTTTCACCTCCCAGCACTGCTTCATCTGCTGCACAGAAATACAGTATATTATATTACAGTGAATAAAACATCAGGCAGTTATTCTGCATCATCAGGGGTGTTTGATGTCTTTGATTCTAATTAGAGTTTACATTCATTTAGCAGCACATTTTATAAATGGTTAAAATAGATAGTGTAAATAATGTTAAAGATGTAACATCAACATGTTTTAAACTAAAAGATAAAGCTAAAATAAACTGCAGGCTGTTTTTTACACAGATTACATTTAAAGTGACACCGTGCAAAACTTTAAATGTCAGTTCAGAATAACGTGATGTTTCTAAAGAGATAGAGTTTTTGGAAACATCTGAAATACAAAAACACTTCAAAAAACAGAAATAAACAAAAAGTCAAAAATTGGAGAAAAGTTCAGAAATTTCACAGAAAATCTGATATTTAATAAAGTCAAAACATTTAGTAAATGATAACTTCTTATACATTATTGAAATATCTTCCAGAAGCTCAGTTTACACCACATGCACATACTTCCAGTTGGTGACGTTGTATTGAGACTGAAAGAACAGAAGGAACCCTTAGTGGCCCCACAGAGGGGAAATGCCTCTCATCTGATCAGTGTTAGGAAGGCGCCGGGGGCCGGGGTAGGAAACGGTGCCTTGCTCAGGGGCACCTCGGTCTATCGGGGACTTGAACTGGTGACTCTGCGGGTCCCAGTCCCTACGGTCTATAGGTACAGCTCTCTTCTATTATACACCCTTCATTGTAATGTAAATATCAGGAGCTGTTTCAGTGAAGCTGCACCTCAGAGTGAAAGCAACTGGCAGAGAGAAGAAGAAATCACTTCTTTATTAAATGTGTGCAAATATAAATTCAAAGATTTCCAGAATAAAGAGTGAGCAGAGACACTCCAGAGTTACTGATCTATTGATTTATGATCTCTTCCTGCACACAGGGGAAGACTTCAGACAGAAACCTTCAAAATAAAAGCCTCACTGACAGTAGGTTTGCAGGGACAGCACACACTTCCTCATAAAAACTCTTTTATTTTGAAGGCACCACCCTTTCCTCTGTAGTCATTGTGTGACCTCTTGCAGCTTGACGAGGTTTGATACGAGGAAACAGAAACCTGCTGCTGAACGTGAGTGTGTTTTAATATATGAATATACTGATATAATGGTATACTAATATACTGATATACTAATACTAATCCCCAGCTCATGGGACAGGGTGAGGGTCCGGGGTTACACCCAAACCTCCCGATTGTTGTTGGCTGTAGTTTACTTTCACTTCAGGAACATTTTGAATGCAGGACTTTTACTGTAACAGAGTATTCCTACACTCTGGTACTTCTACTTTTACTCAAGTACAAGACCTGAGTACTTCTACTTTTACTCAAGTACAAGACCTGAGTACTTCTACTTTACTCAAGTAAAGATCTGAGTACTTCTACTTTTACTCAAGTACAAGATCTGAGTACTTCTACTTTTACTCAAGTACAAGATCTGAGTACTTCTACTTTTACTCAAGTACAAGACCTGAGTACTTCTACTTTTACTCAAGTACAAGACCTGAGTACTTCTACTTTTACTCAAGTACAAGATCTGAGTACTTCTATTTTTACTCAAGTACAAGATCTGAGTACTTCTACTTTTACTCAAGTACAAGATCTGAGTACTTCTACTTTTACTCAAGTACAAGATCTGAGTACTTCTACTTTTACTCAAGTACAAGATCTGAGTACTTCTACTTCTACTCAAGTACCAGATCTGAGTACTTCTACTTGCAGATACAGCTGTTTTAACAGATTACCCTAATGCAAAGTGGGGATGTCCCCAGCGTCCCCAGTACAAATGACCCTATGGTCCAAATACTTGTCTCCTCCCCTCTTCCTGCTCTCGGTGTCTGGAGGAGTGTTGATGGAGTTTCTTCCTCTGGTCTCCTGCAGGTCAACATGGATCCAGGTCTCACCATCGTCCTCCTGGGAAACACCGGCGTAGGTAAGAGTGCTTCAGGAAACACCATCCTGGGTCGCCCTGCGTTCGAGTCCAGACAGACCCTGACCCCGGTGACCCGGCAGATCTCCGAGGCCACTGAGACCGTGTTTGGGAAGCAGGTCTCGGTAGTGGACACCCCGGGGATCCTGGGCTCAGAGCGGCAGATCCAGGCCTGGTGCCAGGAGCTCCGGGGGTCCGGCAGAGAGACCCTGTTCCTGCTGCTGTTCAGTGTGGGGCGCTTCACCAAAGAGCAGGAGAAGGTTCTGGTGGCAGCTCACAGGGTCCTCGGACCTCAGGACTTCAACCGGTGTTTCCTGCTGTTCACGCGGGGGGACGCCTTAGAGGGCCAGGCTCTGGAGGACTTCATCCTTGAAGACGAGGACACTGCAGCTAGCTGCTCAACATTCTCAGACAGATATCATCTGTTCAACAACCAGAGCGGAGGGCGGGAACAAGTCCGAGAGCTGCTGGAGAAGACGGGCCACCTCCGAGCCCAGAACCCCCCCCCAGCAGGTACATTTACTCAGGTGCTGTACTGAGGACACTTTGTAGATGCTTGTATGTCTGGGCAGATTTGGGGGTTAATGCTGAGTCCATTCCTGACGTTTTCAGGATCAACAATGATGGGTTTTGTTGAAGCTAAAGTAGCTGCAGGGTTCTGTCTGTTCTCAGGTTGAGTCTAGAGTCTCTTTGGACAGACGCTAAATGTCTCTGTATCTCCAGGTGTTCTGCAGTCCGTCCGGTTGGAGGAGGTGAGGCTGGTGCTGCTCGGCCCTCCTGGAGGAGGGAAGAGTTCCTCAGGGAACACCATCCTGGGGTCGGATCAGTTTGAGTCGGACTGTGGCTTTAACCCCGTCAGCACTGAGTCAGTCAGTCGCTCTGCCACGGCGGGGGGGGCGTCAGGTCACCGTGGTGGACTCTCCAGGAATCACAGCTGGAAGTGTGTCTCCTGAACAGCTGTCTAAAGAGATCATGAAGTCCATAAAGGAGGCGAGTCCAGGACCGCACGCCCTGGTTCTGGTGCTCAGACTGGGCAGCATCAGCTCGGCAGACATCGCCCTGTTTGAGAACCTGAAGCAGCTGCTCAGAGACCAGGTTTGGAGGTACTCCATGGTGCTCTTCACTCATGGGGACAAGTTAGGAGGTCAGTCCATTGAGGGTCTGATCCGGTCCAACAGTCATGTCTCTGAGCTGGTCTCCATGTGTGGAGGTAGATACTGTGTGTTTGACAACAGGAGAAGAATCAGACAGCAGGTCAGAACCTTCCTGTCTAAGATAGATGAGATGGTCTCAGCTAACGGAGGTCAGCACTGCACAGACGAGTGGTTCAGGATGTATGAGACTTTCCTTAGAGAAGAAAGGATCCTGTCAGGTGCTTCAGGTGGTGATGAGATAAAAGAAAGTGTATGGAAGAAAATGAAACCTTATGTGTTGTTTGGAGCAGGAGTAGCAGTAGCAGCAGTAATAGGAATATCAGTAGGGATCGGAGCAGGGATTGCAGGAGGGATCGGAGCGGGGAACGGAGCAGGGATCGGAGCAGGGATCGGAGCAGGAATCGGAGCAGCAATCGGAGCAGCAGCAGCAGCAGGAGCTGTAGGAAGAGCAGCAGTGGTAGTAGGATCAGGAGCAGCATCCGGAGAAGTAAGAGGAGCAGCAGCAGGAGCAAAATAAGTAGCAAGAAGAGGAGTAGGAGCAGTAGGAGGAGCAGTAGGAGCAGCAGGAGCAGTAGGAGCAGTAGGAGGAGCAGTAGGAGCAGTAGGAGGAGCAGTAGGAGGAGCAGTAGGAGCAGTAGGAGGAGCAGTAGGAGGAGCAGTAGGAGCAGTAGGAGGAGCAGTAGGAGGAGCAGTAGGAGCAGTAGGAGGAGCAGTAGGAGCAGCAGGAGGAGCAGTAGGAGGAGCAGTAGGAGGAGCAGTAGGAGCAGTAGGAGGAGCAGTAGGAGCAGTAGGAGCAGCAGTAGGAGCAGTAGGAGGAGCAGTAGGAGGAGCAGTAGGAGCAGTAGGAGGAGCAGTAGGAGGAGCAGTAGGAGCAGTAGGAGGAGCAGTAGGAGCAGCAGGAGCAGTAGGAGCAGTAGGAGCAGCAGGAGCAGTAGGAGCAGTAGGAGCAGCAGGAGCAGTAGGAGCAGTAGGAGGAGCAGTAGGAGCAGTAGGAGGAGCAGTAGGAGCAGTAGGAGCAGTAGGAGGAGCAGTAGGAGGAGCAGTAGGAGCAGTAGGAGCAGCAGCAGAAGAAGTAGAAGAAATAGCAGGAGCCAGAATGCACAGTAATGAAGAGAAAAATAAACAGTAGAGCCTTTGAAAGACACCTGACCATCATCACAACACGTGCTGCTTCTCTCTGATTTGAAGGCAGCAGGTCTCGGGGGTTTTAAAGAGGTCCTATTCTTCTTGTAGAGAGGGAGACACCCCCCCCCCATTTTGTTTGTTAATGTTCACATCATATAATCATTTTATGTTTTACAATCTTCTTATTCTTTACTCTCAAATGTCAAGTACTTCTACATACTTACAGTTATTGATTTATGATTCTCATATTCCTTTATTGATGGACTTCTGTCTTTTCTTGATCCATGTGTGAATGATCAGCAGAGAGGAGGCAGCGGGTATTTTCCAGTCAGACGAGATAAGAACATGATGTCAGTGGATGTATGCAATAAATAATAATACCTGTGTAAAAGCTAATATATAAATAGCTCTGCTTTCTTTAATAGTTATTGACTAAAAGGACATGTTTGCCTTTCTGACGGCTTTTGGTGTGTCTCTTTGATTCTGTACCTTTAAGAGATGATTTGTTTGATCTTTAATAAAGAGTTGAACTTTACCTGAGAGGAGTCCATCTTTTGTTCTCAGAGACCTCCGGGTCAGAGATATATCATTCACATCACATCATAATGTATCATATATTTCCTTATCTGAGTCAGCTGAGCCGTATCTGGCCGTGCAACACTCACAGTGTCACATACTGTATGCAGAAGTATTATTTTAAGCAACACATTAAGTTGACGAAACACTCGAGTCAAATGTAATTAAAGTCAGATCGTGTCTTAGACGGGGCAGTGATATCATAAACCTGTTAATGTACGCATTCAAACACTTTCTCTGTTACCAGCTGTATTCACCTTGCAGGTGCAGCTATGTGGCTTTGATCCTGGATAAAGTGTTTAAGTCATGGATGTTTCAAGTTTAACTTCTTCATATTTGACTAATTATTTATTCTTTACCTTTCAGCCTCACTTGTAAACGTTATGTATTTATATCTCTAAGCAAAGATTATACAAATTATTATATATATATAATATATATATATATATATATATATAATATATAATACTTTAATAATAATAATATTTCACGGGGAGAGGTGCGACGCAGATAAAGAGAGACGTGGATATAAAATAAGTTGATTAGAAGAAGTTTATTACACCTCCTGTTTCATAGGAAGAGTTCAATTGCAAAAACGAATCAAAGCCAGTCTGACAACGAGTAAACAAACAACAATCCCCTGTTTGTTTGTTTGTTTGTTTGTTTGGTTACTCCTGAGTGCACACATTCAGATCATAAAGTAGGAAACAGGGAGGGTTACTGTAAACGTGTGATCACTAACCCACTAAAGAAGTAATCTGATTACTTTCCTTTACTTTAAGATTACGTTTAGGTTCTCCTGTATCTCTCTGTGTGATTATAGCAAGATATCCTGCATATAAAAAGGGTTTTCATTTACGATCTACAACTTTCATTTATCGAAAAACAGTCTTTGATTAATCCCAGAGGGTTAATTCAGGGTTTCACTCTGCTGTTATTTACATCACACACATGTTGGTATCCACACACACATGCACAAACAGGACCTATAGACGTGCACACTCTTTGGACCTAACGGGACTTGAACCGGTGACCCTTTGGTTCCCAGGCCCCACAGCCTCATAAACCATTATAAACCTTTATAAACCATTTATTTGTAATGAATGGTTTTGTTTGTTTTGAGTTTCAGTCAACACGGCTCCATTTAGAATCATAAATAAAAAGAGAGTTTGAATCCTTATTTTAAGGCTCGATCTGTAATTCTACTGAGTATTAATACAAATACATATACAAAATGATATGGTTATACAGTAGTAAAACATCGATTAGGAAATTAGTGTGAGTAAAGTTTAAAAGACTTTAGCACTAGATAATGAAATGTTTGAATAAATAAGTTTTATAGACATGTTAAAGAGGAAGACACGTTTAATAAACCACATTTAAAAGCAGAGTTTAAACTGAGGCTGACTTTACTTTCACATGTATTTTCTAAATGACCTTTAGTTCCTAATAATCTGAGGAATACAGTGTGTTAAGGTAAGTATGAATAATACGTGTATAAGTGTATATTATAATATATGATATGTGTCCTCTTGAATGTGAGGTTTCCTGATTATTAATAATAAATGTGTCTCTGTCCCTGAACAGGAGAGAAGAAGAGAAACAGCAAGGACTTTCCTCCAGGTGTGAATCACTTTCAACACATTTAAACATCTGTCGGTCCATGTTCCAGATGCTGCCTCATGTTGGGCAGCCTGGTCCCTTTAATACAAAACAAGCCACTCTTTACTCCAGAGGAAAACACACCTTTGAGCCAAAAGAGTAAAGTTAGTGATTTCTAATAGAAAGTGATAATCTCATGAATGTGTTTTCCTGTCCCAGCCTTCAGTGAGCTAAGGCTGGTTCTTCTTGGGAAGACTGGAGCAGGGAAGAGCTCCTGTGGAAACACTTTGCTGGGAAGAGATGCCTTCAGCGCCGCAGTCCATCAGTCCTCAGGTAACAGCACAACGCTCACTGTCAGGGGTGAAGTGCTCTCTAGTACTGGAGCGCAGCTATGATGCTCCTTTTGAAGCTCATGTAACTGCTGTCAATTAACACTCCAGCCAGACTCTGCAAAGCACGGTCAGGTAATATATAAGTATACACTAATAAATAACTGTGTGTGATTTCAGAAGATATATTCCAGCAGAGCTCATAAAATGTCCTATAGAGTGGAAACACTGTAAAGATCTTAGTCTCTGGCTAACGTTGGCCCAGCAGTGAAATAATATACTTCTCATTTACCCAAAACTGGTGTTTACGGATTGGTTGTTCGTCATCACCTGACATCCACCTCCCTCTCCTGGTTTAAATCCTATCTCTCTGACAGACATAAATTAATCTCCATCAAAAACTCCAAATCCCCCACAGCCCCCGTCAATCATGACGTCCCTCAGGGTTCTGTACTTGGTCCCCTTCAGTTCATCATCTACATCTTCCCAATAGGACAAATCCTCCGTCAACACCAACTCCAGTTACACTGTTGCTCACCTCCAACCGACGCTCGGACCACATCACCCCTATCCTCCATCACCTCCACCCTACGCTTCAACCACATCCCCCAAGACCTCCACCCTACGCTCCGAACACATCACCCCTATCCTCCACCACCTCCACCCTACGCTCCGAACACATCACCCCTACCCTCCAAGACCGGGGGTGGGGGGCTCCCGCAACATCTTGCGATTGTAGCAGGGTGAGTAGGA